TCAATACAGTTAGACATGCGGACAAGTCACGTGTGTGAGCGGGTGGGGGATCAAATGGAACGAGTGCAGTGGTGCATCGATCATGGAACAATGATCAGTTGTCAGTCGTGGGGGGACAAACAGAAACGGTTGCGAATGAGCAGTTCGATTACGTTAGTTCGTAAGGGGACGAGTGTAATGGGGCACACGATGTTTGGGCTGGAGGGCTGAATGGAATCAATATATCAATATATATATAATCTTCACAGTAGACGAAGTTATCATGTCGTTTATTGTCATCGTAGTGCATCATCCGGCTAGATAAAAGTACCACAACCGTTTCTCTAAGTGCAAGGGTAGGGTGACCAGCCGCAACCCTAGACACCCACCTCCGACTATACTGAGGCTTTCGGAGGCATTTTTGGATGTACACTTTCCAAATAGATTGCGTGCTCTACACAATTGTTGATAGAACAGATGATACAAATTTTGTGATGGGTTTCTGTTTTCCGGCTACAACTCACGTCTGATTTGCACGATGAGTTCATCATTTACTCAAAGAAAATCCTCCATTCCTCTGATNCTCTGATAAAGTGGAACTATAGACTGTGCCCGTTGGAGGAACAAGATGTCATATGATGTGCGAGGTACATAAACCGTCCTTTTCGAACAAAATGGTTGACGTAATAGTTCTCAATCCAGATTTACTGTTAAGCAAATGGCAATCACCAAAAAGAATGAAATTCAGTGACATGGATCACCGACGAAAGAAACCTCGAGAACAAATGATCGATACTCTACTGATTGATTTTCAATCCCTCAATTTCACAATCAACTAACCTCCAGGTGGATCACAAACAATGCGGAACCATCGAGTACGGATTTGATGTGTGCGACCTAAGCGAAATGCGGAGCTCCGGTCTATGAAATTAATATATCTGTGATGCTCATATTGATACCTGTTTGAAGTTCGCTGACAATATTCTATTGGATTACACATCCTTTACATATTGACCTGTGTGCATGCAAATCCCACCCGTTCCAAATACAAACTCATCCTATCTCGGATATCTGCCTACAGAGATCCTTTGGTACCCCATCTTGCCCGGAACAGTGACCGACAAAGAAAGTGTTCGTTCTGAGTTTTCTAATGCATTTAGTAATAAATTTATATCTTTGCACGCTTGATATCCCACTTTTTGCCTGTACTGCAACAGTGACCTCTTTTTACCTGAAAGCTTGTATATAATTCGCCACATACAACAATAGAACATTGTGAAAAACATGGTATGTGAAAAACCGCATGATGTTTGTGCGTGTGTGTGCGCGTGTATGGATCGAAATGATCAAGGTCGATCGGATTAAAGTGTGGGCAAATCACGTGATCCGAAGTGGTCACAATTCGTATAGATCACGGATTGTGCTTGGGTAAGTGCATCAGATAGGTATGCATCGAATGTGGACAGGTTATGTTGTTGGAATAGAATTGCGGATTTGGAACATGATACGATTAGAGACCCGACTAGACTAATGTTTTCGCATAACAAGAAAAATCTTTTACAGTCGTAGGTGTAATGCTGCCAAAACAAGATCGATGTATGAATGATTCGAATGCCAGAAGTTCTTTCCACCCCGAAACATATTAGCCACGAATAGACTATAGCTGTCTCTCTCTCTCAGCCCCGCTCGACACGCATCAAGATCTAGGCCGTCACCGACCCCGCTCTCACACAATGAAATGTACCATTTCACATTTTTAAAATTTTATTTTGAATCGAGAAAAAGGAAAGGCGTTGGCAAACAGCTGAAATGTCGTCAGTGATTATTGTACCATGTATTTGGTTTCATTGGTTGTGACCGTTTAGAGAAAACAAACTTCAACGGTCGCGGTTGAGTACTGCGATCAAGGAACGAAGTGATAGAGGACATGATATATACACGCGTAGTAGTAAAACCGTACTGATCGTACAACGGACTGAGCAGTGTGGCAATACAAAAATTTCAAATTTGAGTCTCGAGTGAATTCTAGCACAAAAGTGGGATAGACTGTCCCCGAGTTTTTCTGTTCCATTCCACAAATTTTCAGTCCGAGTACGTCTAGCATGTGAAACATTTTTTGATGGAAATCATCGAGGAATTCACAGTAGTATCCCAATAAGGTGTATTGATGTCATATTCTATTTCCATCTATATACCCTTATCCGACCGCGAATTTCTTTTGGACGCTTTTCACTATGCGTCCGGTTGTTGATTGATTTCAGTCAGCCACGAGTTGCGGTGAGTAGAAAAGAACGGGGACTCCACTCCACCGGGACCAATCTCTCACAAATCATCCAGAACCGAGTTCACGATTTCCACACACAAACGGGACCAGTCCAGACACGCTATTGATATTTGGTCCACTAAGAAAAAAGTTATTGAAAGAAACATTTATCAGTATTAAGTACAACCACTGTTGCTGGCAGTGGTTGCGTAGCGTGCTGTTGACGGAGCTTGATAAACAATAACCTTGAGAAACAGAACGCACCGAATAGGACATGATAGACACATTGTAAACCTGGTCTTCTTGATCACACGAGTGTGTTGAGAGTGTTGTCGTCCCAAATTAAAGCTTGGTCTCTGTTCTGTCAACGGTTTTATTTGCTCATTCAATTTTGCTGATTACTTCGGGCCAGTCATGTATCTGTCACTGAAAACCAATTTACCAGCCCCTACCCCCGACACACACGCAACATGAGCCACGGTGTCGCAGACTCCATCATACATGGAATTATCGATGGAAAACAACATTTCGTGAATTGGAGTAGATGCATATGCTTCCTTACTCTGTGTTACCTCATGAAAACAATATATAAATCGCATCATTGGCGAGATGTACAATAGTGATCAGCTGATTTCTGCCGAGAAAAGTTCACAAATGAGACATCCCGTCAAATCTAGAATTTTCGGTCATGAGCAATTTGTGAATCACGTTCTTACAGTCCGACCGATCTAATAACGAATTTCGATCTTTTATTTAAAAAAGGCGAATGCCTCACGGTGGACGATCAATGGATTTGGAACAGGAAAGAGAAACACTTGTCCAACCGAACACCAGGATGAGCAACGTTGGCCTAAAAATTCACACATCGAGAATAGTAGTTATATGGGACAATCTTAGGCGGTCCAAGTTCTTGCGAAGAAAATTCTTTGCGGGGGGATTTGCGATCCTGTTTGTATGTGCTACATTCAGCCACACAGCCAAATGCATCACAGTTGTAGAGGTTCCTTCACTTGAATGTTGAGGTTTTTCTGTATAACAAAGGCTTTGTTTTTGTTTTAGTTTGTACAAACATCAACCACGCATATTCGTGCGCCGGTTTTTGTTGCTATCTTTTGGCTGCCTATTTGGATGAAGAATAGGAGAAGAAAGGAAAGTTGAAAGTGGAGTCGAAAAGAAAATGGAGACGTTCAGTGGTCTAAGGTTGCAAAGAAATTGACAAGATGCAAGAACGCCACTGTTTACGACACCCAGCCATGTCACTCAGTGTCTCTAACCATCGGTTACGATCATCCCGAGGTCCCCAGCCAGAGAGCCCAACAGGACCTATGTGACCCAGTCTCTTGGTTAGGGTTTTCATACCCTCGTGCCAGGTCTTAGCTTGACCACCCTTGGCATTTTGTCACTCGGTATCTGCTTCGGAGAACATAGCTCACGGTGGTAACCTATCTGGTGACATGCGTAGCACATATCCCAACCAACATAATCTATGGAGGTCGACCAC